GGGAGAGCCGCGCACGCGCTCGGAGATGACACGCGCAAAGTTCGAGTCGCGCGTCGTCCCCCAGCTGCTTCGCTCGCACGGGCTCGGCGGCTGCCTGTCCACCACCCCGTCGAGTCTCCTGCACCGCTCGGGTCAGCCCAACCACCTCATGTCACGAAGCTGCGGAACTGCAGCGCGGGGTTGTAGGTGAAGAACAGTTCTACCCCTCCAGCCGTCCCAAACAGGCGACGCTGTCACTTGTTTTACAGAGTGGTCCCCCCGGACGTCCGGATCCCTTCCTGGGATCAGATCTTCATCCCGAGCATTTGTTTGTCGACTGCACGTAAGAGTGACCTTTCGCCGGAGTGACCTTTGGTGCGGGCCCACCGGGGCTCCCGATCGTCGAACGCGGTGCGATAGTAGCGTCTTGTGCGCTTGTGTTCGGTCCCCACGCGGCCCCCAAAAAGCCGGGCACCAAAGGTCTTTCTTACCCAGGGTCGCTCCTGTGTGTAGCCGAGTTTGCACCCCGTCGTGATTTTTTGTTGTGCCGCGCGAGAATGTCAGGAGGAGCCAGGCCCCGAGCCTCGACATCCCGAGCCTCGCTCGGCTCGCCGCCCCCCCCCTCTCTCCACAGTGGGCCTCCCAGATGGGGTCAGAGTAGATTTAAGTCGGGCGTGTCCCTCTACAGGACGAATATTCAAAAATAGTCAGGGGACGATTGTTTGAGCATGTTTTGGTTATGTTTGAATGCTCGTTGAGTTTGTTTTCATTTTTCCTCCAACATCCGCCTGTAGGGGGACATGCCCAACCTAAGAGCAGATGGGGTCGGAGGATCGCGCTGAATCGCCGATGCATCGCCGATACGTCGCTGATGCATCGGCAATGCACGGGCGGCGTCTGCGATGCATCGGCGACGTCGGCGTGGATAGAATCGTACTCCACATCGAGCCGCATTGCCGAAGCATCGGCGATGCAGCGCGATCCTCCGATCCCACCTGAGCGGCGAACAAGAGCAGGGTCGTCTGCGCAGACATTCGCGCGCAAGCTGCCCGCGTAAGGTCGCTATGTCGTCTCGCATGAGACCTGCTTCCTGATCGTCGCTCATGCGTGGGCGGGGAGGACGAAAACCCAGAAAGTTTGGGCAATCTGAGGGAATCCCTCGGTAGCCAATCATGGGAGATTTGTGTACCCTCGTAATTCCGTCTTGAGCGTCGACCAGCAGCGTCGATGGGATAGCGCCGATGTTCTTTTTGTCGCTCACCCGTTCGGCCCCCATCTGGGAGGCATCCGCGCTGGCGCCCGAGAGGAGCCCGACCTCGCGAAGGAGTACGACGCGGAGGACGCCAGCAGCGACGAAGGGTGTTCGAAGGCGATGCGCCGCGAGGGTTGCGCGGCGGGCCGTGCTGCCGTGCGCACACCCGGAGGTTCGCGGGCCAAGAACGGCACGACATGATTTATTCCGCCGTCGGGGCTGCTTGTCCCCCCGGGCGGCTGCAAAGTACAAACTTTCCCTCAGCCCGGGGGGCAGGCGACCCCGACGGCGGAAAAGTTTATGTGTCATACCATTCTTCGCCCTCGGCGAGACAGCCTGTCCCCCGGTCGCCACTGAGAGCGTCGGGGGCAGGAGACTCACCAGGGCACGTGCGGGTGCCACTCCTGGAAGGTTGGGTTCGGCATCGGCGTGTGTACAATGGAGACCCATGCCAAGAAACACCCTGCTTGCCTCCAGTGTGCCCAGGGTAATTACCTTGCTTGCCTCCAGCCGCCATGACGCTCCCGCGCCAAAAATCCATGGACGCCCCTGGGTCTCAGGGTTTGATTTCTTGTGGGAGGTTTCCCGTGGATCGGTCTCACTGTATGCCCGTGGTCGAAAACGAACCCCGTCTAGGCCCGCCTGATCCCGTTTGATCCGGTTGAGCCCTCGGCTTGATCTGTGTGGGCTCATCCAGCTCAGTGGCTCCTGGATCGCGCTCTATAGCCCTTGGTGGTTACCAGAAGTGGCCTCCCAAACGGTGAGCGAGGAGCCAGCCTTCTCCCCTCGTCGAGGGCCCGGGGGGGGGGGGGGACAAGATCCCGCGGGGGAGGCGCGCACCACACCACCTCGATCTTCGGTCCTTCGATCCTCGATCCTGGCATCCAGCCTCGAGCCTCGATCCCCCACCCTTGCCTCTGTCATAGAGGCCTCGATCCGGGCCTCGAGGCCTCGATCCTCGAGCCCCAGACCTCGCCCTTCCAGCGCGTGGGGGGCAGAACCCGGCGGGCGATGCAGAAGCACAGGCCAGGAAAATGTACCCATGCCGCTACTAGGGGAAAGAAAACTGACACACACACACACATAAAGTTTCGGAGGTGCAGATTTTTCGGATCCGCGCTGGACCCCCTGAGCGGCGCCTCTGGCGCCGCGGAGCGCGCCAGGGAGGGGCGGTCCAGCGCCGATCCGAGAAAATCCGCGCGGACCTCCGAGTTTTTATGTTTATGCCTTTCGTCGTTCCCCTAAATCAAGATCCCGGAAATTGTGGAAAGAGGGCGTCGAACGAGGTCAGCATTTCTTCTTAGGTCGGCATGTCTTCCTACAGGGGGATTGTGGGCGGAAAATCTTGAGTAGTATTTTGTTATGCTAATGTGGGGGATCCGTGGACTTTCTGCTTATGCCATTTTTCGTTATCCTAGCTGCCCTCCCTCCGTCTTCCCCCATTCCTGGGCCTCTTGGGAGGCCCTCGCCGCCGCCGCTGGAATTCGCCCCGACACGTGCGCTGGTCCGGGCACACCCCGGGAGAGGCCCCAGGGGGGGCAGCGGTACGGACGGCGGGCCCGCGCGAGGGGCACGCCGAGCTTCTGCCGGCTCCCCCCAACTTTTGCAAGAAACCAACAACAACAACCACAACCACAACCACAACCACAACAACAACACCACCAACAATCTTAACAATAATAACAATAATTTCAACAATAAGAACACCAACACCAACAACAATAGCAACAGCAACACCAACAGCAACAACAACAATCATGTTAAGACTGTTCGCTCTTACTGGCACGCGTGTCTTGCATTCCGTATACCCCAACCCTCGATACCCGCCCACTTCGTCTTCGATCGCACCCCCTTTCGGGGGGATTCTCTTCCTTGTCGGCCACTTACTGAAGTGGGAAGAAGATCTCGAGCGAGAGCGCCGTTCCTGAGTTCGGGGGCCTCTCTGGCCAGGGGCTCTCGGAATACATATGGAGAAATATCGAACGGAAGCCCTTGTCGCCATGTCTGGGCCTCCACCAACTTGCTTGAATTACGGGAAAGTCTCGAGCGAGAGCGCCGTTCTTGGGTTCTTTCGCCTCTGGCAAGGGCCTCTGCGAATACTTCTTGAGGATCGAACCGGAGCCATTGTCATCGTAGTTGGGCCTCCATCAAGTTGACTGCATCGTGAGAAAGTCTCAGGCGAGAGCGCCGTTCCTGAGCTCGGGGGCCTTCCTGGCCAGAAGCTCTCGGAGTAAATCGCGAGGAAGGATCGAGTAGAAGCCCTTGTCGTCGTGGCTGGGCCTCCGCCAACTTGATTGAATTGCGAGGAGGTCTCGAGCTAGAGCGCCGTTCCTGAGTTCGGGGGCCTCTCTGGCCAGGGTGTCTCGGGGTAAACTGTACGGCAGTATCGAGCGGGAACCGTTGTTGTCGCAGCTGGGCCTCCAAGGGCCCACATTCAGGCTCAAGCCAACGCTCGAGCGGGAGCCTCGTTTTCAGAGAAACATGTAGCCGGCGTCGAGGCGAGAAGGCGCGGAACCGTTTCCGGAGATCAGCAGCAATTGTTCTTTAGAAATTCGTGTTCAATAGCAGCAACAACAATCAATTCAATATTGTTCGCTCTTACAGGCACGCGTGTCCGTATTCCCCAACCCTCGATACCCGCCCACTTCGTCTTCGATCGCACCCCCTTTCGGGGGGATTCTCTTCCTTGTCGGCCACTTACTGAAGTGGGAAGAAGATCTCGAGCGAGAGCGCCGTTCCTGAGTTCGGGGGCCTCTCTCGCCAGGGTCTCTCGGAATACCTCCATCGAGCGGGAGTCCTTGTCGCCATGTCCGGGCCTCCACCAACTTGTTTGAATAACGGGAAAGTCTCGAGCGAGAGCGCCATTCTTGAGTTCGGGGGCTTTCTTGGCAGCGCTGCCGGCCCCGCTGCCGCTGCCCGCCGCCCGCCGCCAGTGCCTGTTTGGCACCGCCGCGCGCTGCTCAGACTCAATCAGTGACGAAGCGTCCTGGCCTTCCCTGAGGCCCACCAAAGACTGTTCCAAGAGCCTTTTGTGGTTTGCGCGACATGTTCTTAGCACATTTCTGGCCGAGACTGTCTTGTTTTCGCACGTCGGCTCTACAGTGAAGGCCCATGCCAAGAAACACCCGGCTTGCCTTCAGGGTGCCCTGGGCTTCTTGGGTTTCGATGGTTTTGCTGGGGAAGGAGCGACGTTCCCACGCCAAAGTCCATGGACGTCCTGGGGTCTCAGGGTTGGGTTTCTTGTTGAAGGTTTCTTGTGGACTGGGCTCCACTGTACGTCTGTTCTAAAGAACATTATTTTTCTTATCAGCTGGTTCCAAGAACATTTCGTGGTAATGAGGCCTATGGGAATGCCGGGACGGTCGGTCCCTGCTCAACTGACATGTGCGCGTCGTGGCAAAATCCAGACAGGAGGTTTGAGGCCGTTTTCGGCCTCTGTGGGCCCGTACCAGGCCCCAGGACCGCCGTCAAAACCGACGCAGGGTCAAACGCCTGACCTGTGGAATGGGCCGGGACTTCCATCGATTGGACGTGACCCGTTCCCAGAGAGACCTTTGGTGCGGGTTCATTGGGGTCCCCTGGTCGTTGATCGCGAAGCGACAGCAGCGTCCTGCGCGCCTGTGTTTGGTCCCCCCGCGCCCCCCCCAAAGCCGCGCACCAGAGGCCACTTCTCACCCAGGGGCCACTCCTGCGTGTCGCCTATACCTATACCTCGGGGGCCAACGTGCTGAAGAAGTCGGGGCGTCGCGTGTCTGGGCAGCGCTGCCCTCGCCCCGCCGCCCTCCGCCAGTGCCCCCGCGAGGCTCTGGCGCATCCGCCGCCCGCACTCGCCAGCTCTCCAGGGTCGACCCCTGGCAGCCGCGCTGGGCCTCGCTTGGGCCCCTGGAGCGCTCGGGCGGCTTTCGCCCCAGCTGCGTGCGACCCAGAATATTTGCGTGTGTGTGTGTGTGCGTGCAGCGCCGCGTGAGCCGGGCTCGTGCGCGCGCTCGACTGACCTGTTCTACAGCGCGCCGCCGCGCACGTGGCCGCGACGCCAAAAGTGTGTGTGTGTGAGTGTGTGAGTGTGAATGTGTGTGTGTGTGCTTGTGTGTTTGCGCGTGTGCGTGTGTGTGTGTGCGCGTGTGTGTGTGAGTGTGTGTGTGTGAGCGTGCGTGTGTGTGTGCTGTGTCTGTGTGTGTTTGTGCGTGTGCGCGCGTGTGCGTGTGTGCGGGTGTGTGTGTGTGTGTGTGTGCGTGTGTGTGCGCGTACGTGTGTGTGTGTGTGTGTGTGTGTGTGTGCGTGTGTGTGTGTGCGCGCGTGCGTGTGGGTGTGGGTGTGTGTGTGTGTGTGTGTGCGGTGTGTGTGGGGGGGGGGGTGCGTGTGCGCGTTCGTAGTGCGCGTGCGCCTGCCTGTGTGTGTGTGTGTGTGTGCGTGCGTGTGTGTGTGTGTGTGTGTGTGTGTGCGCGCGTGTGTGTGTGTGTGTGTGTCCGTGTTTGTGTGTGCGTGCGTGTGTGTGTGTGTGTATGTGTTTGGCCGACCTCTTCCGGCTTGGAGTGGCCCCAGCCAGCGACGCTCAGAAGTGTGTGTGTGTGTGTGTGTTGCGCTAGTTCCGCGCTGCCCGCTCGACTTGCTCCGCCTCGTCGCTGCGCGCGAGGCCGCGACCGCCAAAAAGTGTGTGTGTGTGTGCGCCGACCGTAGACGCGCGCGCTGCACTGCCTGCCTCGGACTTTCTACGCTGCGTCGCGGCGCTCGGTGCCGCGACGCCAAATAAGTGTTTGTGTGTATATGTATGTGTGTGTGTGTTTGTGTGTGTGCGTGGATGTACGCACGTGCACGGGGGCGTGAATGCGGCTGGGCGTGCCGGGCGCTTGCAAGCAAGTGTGCATGCAAGTTTACGCGGGCGGTATGCATCTTGCAGCACCCCACTTTTGTTGACGCTCCTGCTGTTGAGTTTTTTCTTTCTTGGTGCCCGCGGCCTTTGAGGTTCCTCGCGCCCGATGATTCATCGGGTGCCGAAGGAGGAGCGGGTCCTGGACCCGAGCCGTTTTTTGACGACCCCGGTGCTCAGAAGGACCCATGGCAGTCCGAAAATTGCCCAAACCTCCAGAACCCTCTTCTTAGGATGCATCTCGTGGGAGGTTAAAATTCAGCAGCGGCACCATTTTTTCCGCTGTTGCAAACCAGCCTAATTCGGCATAGTCCCGCTGGTTCCCGCTCAGCCTGGCATGATCTTGGGTTGATTACGGGCTGATCAGGCTCTATGGCCCGTTGAAGATGCCCTAGGAGCAGCCCCTAGTCGTTCTTGCCAGGACCCCCCAGGAGTTAAGCGCCTCGGAGCCATTCCTCTAGATATTCATTTGGGGACCTTCCTGTGAGCTACTTCGACTCATAGTTCGACCCTAGCTCGACTCGAGTTCGACTTAAGTTCGACTCGAGTTCGACTCAAATTGACTGACGTTCGACGCAACATCGTTGCGTGAGTAGGGCGAATAGGTCCAGGAAGGTCTCCAGAACGAGCATCCACTTTCCTCCAAGATCCTTTCCATCCATGCTGGCAGCAGGCCCGGTGGCCATCGATCCAGACGCGTGTGGCGAAGTTCTCCACGTGCATCATCGCGTCGGTCTGCCTCGCGGCGCTGGCGGCGCTCCTCAAACTCTCGTCGCTAGGCGGGGGGGGGGGGGGGGCAGCGCGCAAGGAGGGAGATGGTGCGGTAGGGCGGGAGGGCGGGTCGGCGGGGCCAGGGAGGACGATGGCGGGAGTGAGGGGAACGGGGCACGGGTGAGGCGCTCCGTCCGTGCGCCGCTCCGTCCGTCCGGTTGCTTGCATGCCTGCCTGGGCTTTTCTGCCCCGTCCATCCCGTGGTGCTGGTCCTCGCTTTGGAGGGGCGGTCCCCGCGTCCTTCCTTCCTTCCTGCCTCTCCTCCCTTCCTCCAACCCCCTCCTCCCATACGAAGGATTGCAAAAAAAACGAAGGATTGCAAAAAAACCCTGGATTGCAAAAAAACCCTGGGTTTTTTTTGCAATCCTGGGTTTTTTTGCAAAAAATCTTTTGCAAAGCCTCTGCCCTCCGCGTGTCCATCTCGGCACGCCCCTCACACGCTTCGTGGCTCCACGGAGCTCCACGCCGTTCCGGCGCACCCCCTCGCACGCTCCGCGGCTGCACGGGGAGCTCCACTCGAGGCCCCAGCGGCGGCGTTCGCATGCCTTTTCTTTTCAACACCTGCCATTTCGGCGCACCCCTCACACGTTTCGTGACCACATGGGGAGCTCCGCCTTAGACCCCAGTGCCGGGGCCCGCATGCCTTTTCCACACCAGTTCGGTGAACCCCTTGCACGCTTCGTGGCTCCATAGGGGATTCCACCTGAGGCGCCAGTGCCAGGGCTCGCGTGCCTTTTCCACACCAGTTCGGCACTCCATTCACACGCTTCGCGACCCTATATGGAGGGCTTCACCGAAGGCGATGCTCACAACGACGATACCCACCCCTGCATATGCTTGGCCTTTTTGCCAGGATAGCTCCCAACCGTCCTTTGGTGTTGGGCCTTCCGCGTCCTTCCTTCTTTCCTTCCTCTTCCCTCTCCCCTTTCTCTGATTCGCATACCTTCTCCACGCCATTTCAGCGCACTCCTCACACGTTTCGTGGCCCTCAGGGACCTCCACCGAAGGCCCCAGGGGCGTGGTTCTCATACCTACGTGCGACGCTTGATGCAAAATGCGGACGTCCTCCTGGTGACAGAGACTCACGGAACAGAGGCGGGCAACGCCGCATGGCTCCTTCCGCCTGGTTGTTCGGCCCGGTGGTCGCAAGGTCCCACGGCCGGCCACTCAGGAGTCGGCTTTGTGATCGAGGACGAGTTCCTCCGCAACTTCGACCCGTCACCGCGTCTGCACCATGTTCGGCGAGGCCGCGCTGCCAAGCTGTGCCTCCGCAGCGCTCACGGAGCATTGGATTTAATCGTAGTTTGCTTTCACTCGGGATCCCGCGCCAACCTGTCCGAGACGGACACGGCAGGCATCCCGGTGCGGCCCCAGACAGGCTTGACGAATTACCCGGCCATGCGTTCGTACGTGAGGCAGTTGCGAGCGAAGAACGTGACGGCCAGGAGCAATTGCTTGACCGTGCTTGGAGGGGACTTCAACTACGTGACCCAATCTGTGGACAGAGTCTCATTCGGCACTGCCTTGGATTGTGGTCGTCGTACTGGGCGGGAGGAGGCTCAATGCCAGTCCGACGGCGCATCGCGGCATGGCCTCTCTGAGATGTTCCCAGGGGACTAGCCCACTCCTCGGCCACAGCCCGACCACAGTTGGACAGGATCTGTTTCGACTGCGACGTGACGAGATGCGTCGTGGCCAGAAGCCTCGAGCTCTGCCAAGAGCTATCACGCTATCGCGCTGTCCGTGTCGCTCTCCTCGCCCCGATCCGGCAGAACGATCCGGATCGTCCATCGGCAACGCGTGCGCGCGCACCCCATCGAAGGAGAAGAATCGCCATAAGCATCAACTTTTTGGTGCTCCGCGCGAAGTTCTTGGATCCGCGCTGGGCACCCCCCCGGGCGGCGCATCCAGCGCGGATCCAGCAGATCCGTGCGGAGCGCCAAAAGTTTGTGTTGATGTGGCTTTTCTTTCCTCTAACTTCAAGTCGGGCTTGTCCCTCTACAGGAGGAATATTCGAAAATATTCAAAAAACTAGTATGGTAATTGTTTTTGGCTATTTTTGAGCATTTGGGGAGCTTTTCTTCGTATTTTTCAATTTTTGTCGTCCAAAATCCCCGTGTAGGGGGACAGGCCCGACCTAACTCTAACTCCAGCGCGAGGATTCCCCCAGGCGTTTGAGTTTAGACTCTCACGGGTCGCTGCGAGAGTGCCCGGGGGCGTCGCCGTTTCGGCGGCTCGCTCCGCACAGGGCGCCTGTGCGCGGGGCGGCGTGCAGGCCCGAGAGCGACCTTGCGGCCATGCCTGCCGCCGTGGGCGCGGGAGACAAAAGCGGAGCGTTGCCCTCGAGCTGCTCCGGGCGATCGAGGGCGGCAGGCCGCCAGAGTCGCGAACGCGTCGACAACACGTCGACAATCCGTCGACAATCCACGTCGGCAGTCCGTCAACCATCCGTCAACAGTCCGCCAACAACCCGTCAACAATCCACGTCAACAATCCACGTCGACAATCCGGCAACAATCCGTCAGCAATCCACGTCCACAGTCCCGGTTCCCGGACACCTGACAACACGTCGACAATCCGTGCAGACTACACAGTGATCCTTCGCAGGATTGACCTTTGGTGCGGGCCCACCCCCGATCGCCGATTGCGATGCGATAGTAGCGTCTTGCGCGCTTGTGTTTGATACCCCCGCGGGCCCCAAAAAGCCGCGTACCAAAGGTCAATCTTACCACGGGTCACTCTTGTGTGTAGCCGAACGACTTCGACGGCAATGTGACCCGTAAGTTGCCCCAATTACGCCGGTTCTTTTTGTACCTGGCTCGTAGTTCTGCTGTTGACGAGCTTCGTAGTTCCCGGGCCGATCTCACCAGCGAGGACGTCTTCAAAACGCAGGTTGCGCTGCAGAAAAACAGCCGTCCGATCTTTCGTCCTGCCCCAGGCCGGGGCAGCGTGCTCAGCGCCGTGCTCGAGGACCATGGGGAGGCCACCACAGGCCCCGCAGACATGGCCCGTTGGGCGTACGTTGGTCTGAAGCCCTCCGGGAACGAGGCATCCACGAGGAGTTGCTGGACCACTGGTTGGAGGACGACGCGGACAATGGGCCGCTCGCAGACCCGGCCAACTCGAAGGGGCCGCCCAGGCCCAGCCTCGGAAGTCACACGTGACAAACGCCCTCGATCCTCCTCCTCCTCCTCGATCCTCCTCCTCCTCGGTCCTCCTCCTCCTCCTCGATCCTCCTCCTCGATCCTCCTCCTCCTCATCCTCCTCGATCCTCCTCCTCCTCCTCGTCCTCCTCCTCCTCCTCGTCCTCCTCCTCCTCCTCCTCGTCCTCCTCCTCCTCCTCCTGTAGTGCCGGAAGTCACACGGTGACTTCTGGCACTACATCCCAGGGCCCCGACGGACTTCCTTTCCTGGCATGGCGCCGCTGCGCTAATATCGGCATCCCCTCTGTTCAACGCGGCCAAGTTCATCCACGGGAACCGCCAGACCGGGCTCAGCGGAGAGCAAGCCAAGGAGTACAACGCCGGTTTGATGTTTCTCCTCCCGAAGCCTGCCAGAACATTACCAACGGGTGAAGGGAATTTCACGCCAGCGGATACCCGCCCATTGAACGTGCCGCACATTGACAGCATACTGATCTCGAATGCGGTCCGTGCTGCTGTCGAGCCTGCTGTCAGCAGAAGTATCTTGGAGATCCAGGGCGGCTTCCTGGGAGGGACCATGCTTGCCAACTTGGTGGTTCTGGGGGAGCCAATTCTCCGGACGGGGCTCAGCAGTCCCACGGGCGGGGCTCTCTTGTTCGATGTCGTGACGGACTTTCCATCCATCGAGCACAAGTTTATGACCCGCGTCTTCGACCACCTCGGTTGGCCCCCTGGCTCCGTGGTTGCGTCTCTGCTTTGTGTTCCGAGAATTTTTACCTAACAGCGAAGACTGATAGGTTTCGAGTGGGGTCAAAAGAGAGCATCTTGACTCCCCAGGAGGGTCTGGGCGGGTGCCGGGAGAATCCGGGGAATCCGGGGACTCCCCAGGACTCCTATAGATTCCTATAGTTTCCCGATGGATTCCTACAGATTCTGTTCCCAGAACACCATTCCCAGGCCACATTTTGAATGCCCGGAGCCAACTGTAGGCCACTTCGTTTTCTTCGTCTTCCCAGAACACCATTCCCACATTTTGAATGCCAGGAGCCAACTGTAGGGCACTTCGGGTTCTTCGTGTTCCCAGACCACCGTTCCCAGGCCACATTTTGAATGCCCGTAGCCAACTGTAGGCCACTTCGTGTTCTTCGCGTTCCCAGAACACAATTCCTGTACCATATTTTGATTGCCCGGAGCCAACTGTGGGCCACTTCGTGATCTTCGTGTTCCCAGAACAGCAGTCCTGTGCCATGTTTTTAATGCCCGAGCTGAGGCAGGCTGAAGCCGAGGCAGGCTGAGGCTGAGGCTGAGGCACGCCGAGGCTGACGCAGGCTGAGGCAGGCTGAGGCTGAGGCTGAGGCAGGCTGAGGCTGAGGCTGACGCAGGGTGAGGCCGAGGCAGGCTGAGGCTGAGGCCGAGGCAGGCTGAGACTGAGGCCGAGGCAGGCTGAGGCTGAGGCTGAGGCTGATGCAGGCTGAGGCTGAGAGGCTGACGCTGAGGCTGACGCAGGCTGAGGCTGAGGCAGAGGCCAAGGCAGGCTGAGGCTGAGGCTGAGGCTGAGGCAAGCCGAGGCAGGCTGAGGCTGAGGCTGAAGTTTAGGCAGGCTGAGGCTGAGGCTGTGGCTGAGGCTAAGGCAAGCTGCGGCTGAGGCAGGCTGAGGCTGAGGCTGATGCAGGCTAGGCCGAAGCAGGCTGAGGCTGAGGCCGAGGCAGGCTGAGGCTGAGGCTGAGGCTGAGGCAGGCTTAGGCTGAGGCAGGCTGAGGCTGAGGCTGACGCAGGCTGTGGCCGAGGCAGGCTGAGGCTGAGGCTGAGGCAGGCTGAGGCCGAGGCAGGCTGAGGCTGAGGCTGAGGCAGGCTGAGGCAGGCTGAGGCTGAGGCCGAGGCAGGCTGAGGCTGAGGCTGAGGCAAGCCGATGCAGGCTGAGGCTGAGGCTGAAACTGAGGCAGGCTGAGGCATCCGTAGGAATCCATAGGAATCCTTAGGAATCCCTAGGAATCCCTAGGAATCCGTAGGCGTCCTTAGGAATCCGTAGGCATAGTTAAGCATCCTCAGGAATCCTTAGGAATCCTTAGGATTCCCTAGGAATCCTTAGCAATCCCCAGGAATCCCTAGGAATTAGGATTCCTAAGGATTCCTAAGGTTTCCTAAGGATTCCTATGGAGTCCTAACGATGACTAAGGATGCCTTAGGAATCCCTAGGAATCCTTAGGATTCCATTGGATCCTAAGGCCGTTGCCACTGTGACTGTCATTGCGAATGCGACTGCGACTGCGAGAACAGCAGAATTCTACAACTGGATTCTCACCTGAATCTTAAGGGGAATGCTTCCAGATATGCTTATACACATCGCTGTTAGGTTGCTTTGCCGGGATACTTTGCACTATCACCATGCGAGGCTCCAAGCACAGCAGATTCGACAACGGCCTTCGCCGGACTGTCCGCTCACTTCCAGCCTGTGTGCTCCGTGGTTGCGCGGACGACCTCGGGCTCACTGACATGGACATTTGTGAGGAGGGGAAAAACACACAGGCACAATTAATCAACGATTCCCCAGAACATATGGGAAGATATGGGAAGTGGAATCCTGTTATCTGTCAATTTATGTGTGTGTGTCCCAGGGCCCCTTCAATTTGGAGCAGCATGCTGGTGGCAGAGAATATCTTCGCCGATTTCGAGCGTGTCGCTGGGCTCCCCCTGAACCCCCACAAGACGGTGTTCATCACACTCTTCCCTACAATTAAGTCGGGCATGTCCCTCTACAGGAGTATTCAAAAGTAGTAAAACCTAGTCTGGGGACGATGTTATAAGTATTATGTGGCAATTCGGGCGCGTTTCTAGGGTATTTTTATTGTTTCGTCTAAAATCCACCTGTAGGGGGACATGCCCGGCCTAACCCTACAAGAGGCCCGCGAACGCCTTGCCAATGTGTCGCTTTTGGGAGCACTGGAGGTCGATGTCTGTACCAAATACTTGGGGGAAGTGCATCGACCCTGAGAGAGGTCATCGTACTTGGGACGCGGCCTTGAAAAGTGTCAGGACCGCGCGGAAATCCGGCGCTCCCTGCACGTGGGCATGTTCAGCTCGATCGGCACCTATCGGATCTATGTTGCATCGGTGCTCTTGTGCTGCTCCCAGCTCGACTTGCTACCCCCGAGCGTCGCCGAAATGGAGGATAGGGTGCGGCGGCTGTTGTTAATGGGTCCGACGGGTTGGATGACGCCGGACTCAAGAGCCTCACGCATTTCTGCTTTACCGGCGAGATGTCCGATGTCCGCACCACGGCAATCGCTGCCCGCGCGCGCAAGGCCCTCCACGAATATTCCAGGTACGGAGGACGGAGGTTCCGAGGAGATCGAACGCCCTCCAGGGTGGGGTGTGGAAGGAGCGGGTGGAGGGGGGGAGCGGGATGGGGGAGACGGGAAAGGCGGAGAAGGAGGAGGAGGGAGGTGATAGAGAAGTGATGAGGCCAACAAGGAGGAGGAGGAGGAGGAGGAGGAGGAGGAGGATCTTATTACGAGGAGAAAGTGGAAGAGGAGGAACACGAGAACGATGAGGAACATGATAAGGTGGACGAGGGGGAGGAGGAGGGAACTTACGCTGACGTGAAGGACGTGGAGGAGGAGCACGGGATGGAAAGGAGGAGGAGGAGGAGGGGAAAGCTGATGATGAGGAGCGATCGGGATTTCGGATGAGAAACGGCGGCAGGGGAAAGATCATATTGAGAACGAGAAGGACGAGGAGGACGAAGAGGAAAACGAGGAGTAGGGGGAGGAGGGGGCGCACTTGCGCGCCGCCAGTGGGCAAGGAGGCAGGCGCGGCGCTGCTGTGATCCTCAACACTGTGTCACAATCGAGAAACCCCGCCCCCGCTTTGCGGGCACGCGCGCACGGCATTTGCCCCACTCCCAGGGCCCTAGTCGGGGCGGAGCCGTTCCTGCCTTTTTTGCCCATGGGCGTTGGCACAACGCGCCCCACCCGGGTGCGCACGACCAGGCCAGACCATGAGGAAAACGAGCAGGAGGAGGAGGAGGAGGAGGAGGAGGAGGAGGAGGAGGAGGAGGAGGAGGAAGATCGAAGCGAAGTTCTCGAGCCTCAGCCGCCCGCTTCGCCGCGAAGAGGCCGAAGAGCTTCCCCCAGTCGTACGCCTAGGGTGCGGTGGGCGGAGGGAGAGGCTGTGCGCCTCGGCTGCGCGGCAGGAGAAGGCGGACGAGGGGCAGCATGCAGGAGGGAGGGGGATAACGCAGGAGGCAGGCGGAGCAGGTGGAGGGCGGAACGGCCGCGGCCCAGGAATACAGGAGCCGCCGTCGTACCCGCCGGGCTTTAACTACACCGAGGCGCGGGGCCGACGGCGGCGGCGGCTGGAGTCGGCGCGCATGCGGGGCCCCGCGGCCACCCCAGGGCCCACCGACGAAGCTCAGGGAATCGAGCCGGACGACCAAAGCACGCCGAGGTTTGGGCGTTGCGTGATGGAGGGGCGACGAACGGGAGTTGAAGAAGGGTGCCCCTTCTGTGCACTTCGGGGGCCCTGGAGGGGCCACCCTTGGGGCCAAAAGGGGGTGCGAAAAGTGCACATTCCTTCGCCCCGCCCATCGCCCTCCCCAGTGCCCCACGCTCAAGATGCGGTGGTTGGTCAGCATCGGGCCAACGTCTCGTCCCGACGGTGCTCTTCTGAGCCAGACGGACTGCCGACGATGAGCGATGCTTCATATTGTGAGGGCGCTCCTCCAACACGTGCGTAAGAGGTCAGACCCAAAACTTCAAGCAGTGGCGAGGCATCCCGGCTAGCCTCTTGGGCCACCAAAGAATGTTCTAAGCATTTTTTGTGGTTTGCAAGAAATGTTCTCAGAGTATGTCTGGCTGAGATCGTCTTGGTTTCATACCTCGGGCTTACGTTCTAAGAACACTGTGTTTGTCCTTAGAACGTTTGGGTTCAAAGAACAACATGTCGTGGTAGGCCTATAAGAACGCCGGGACAGTCGGTCCCTGTTCAAAGATTACACCAGAGAAGAACCCTAATCAGTGGATGGTTTCGCTGAGGAGATCGACCGGGAACCTGGGAGCCCGGGAACCCAGAACCCACCGAAATCGGACCGGAACCAGTAACCGGGATCCCGGGAATTTGGAACCGGGAACCCGGGAACCCAGCCTGCTACCAAAATCGGCGGGCAAGTCTTTCAATCTCCGCTATAGGACCCCTTCGGTGCAAGCACTGCTTGGGGAACGCCATTTTTGAGCCTCAGAGGGGGCGGTACTAATTGAGGGACCTCCTCTTTTTGAGCCATGGGGCCCAAGATGGCCCCAAGAGGCCTTTCAGCTTCTCCCAAAGACCCTCCACCCCGCCCTTTTTGGCCCAAGATGGCTCCAAGAGGGCCCCAGATAGCCCTTAAGATGGCCTTCAAAATGGCCTAAAATGGCCCGGGTGGCTGTGCTCGAGCCGTGCCCCGGTTCGTGGCCTCGCTCTCCTGCGAGTGCCGCTCCGCGGCGCGTGCCGCTCCGACTTCGCTGGGGTCGCGGCCCAGGGGCCCGCATCGCGGCGCCGTGGTCAAGGGTTGGGCTTAAGGCGGGCGCGTCCCTCTACAGGAGGAATATTCAAAAATTGTATAAACATGCTCTTGGGGACGATTCTTTGACAATTCTCGAATCTTGATATGTAGGCTTACGCCACATCCGCCGACCTCTATATAAACTACTGCGCCCCCAGGGCTGCATTTCACAAGGCTTGTCCGAGTCATGACACGGCGCTCGACTTCGTTCTTGTTGTTTCGTTGCTGTTATCGTACCTCTTGGTGCTCTTTTGTTGCCTTTTGGTGGCATCTTGGCTTGTCTGCAGGCCATATCCGGCCGCCTCGAGGCATCTTGGGCCAAGTTTTGGGGCCTTTGGGGGGCTTCCTGGATGCTTCTTGGAGGCCTTTGAGGTTCTCTTGGTGGTCCCTCAGACCTCTTTGGGTTGTTCTTGGGGCAGGCTGGGGGCGTCTTGGGGCCGAAGGCTCGAAAAGGTGCCCTCTGGGCTCCGTCTTGGAGCCGTCTGGGGGCCCTCTTGGGCTGTCTTGGGGGCTTCGGGGGCTGTTGTTGGACCCTCTTCGACCCTTCTTGGGGGCCCCTTTGGCCGTCTGGGAGCGATATTGAAGGTTTCTTTGCCCGTCTGGGACGTTGTGAAACCGAATAGGCGAGCATGCGACAAATGCTTGTTTCCCGAAGGGAATGGGACGATTTTTGTTTCTTGGGGCCCTCTTGGGGCGCATCTTGGGGGCCTTTTGAGGCGTCTTGGCGGCTTCGGAGGTCGCCTGGAGGCCATCGTGGGCGTCCAGGGCGATATTTCGGCGAATCGTTGCCCCCTGGGACCGTCTGGGGAGCGTTTTGGTGCCTTCTTGGCCAGTTTTGGAGCCCTCCGCTCCTGCGTGGCGCGTTCGGTCCGGGGTCGCGCTCGGCGAGGGGGGTGGGGTCGAATTGCCGGTTTGGGGTCCCAGGGGGGGAGGGGGGGATTATGGGGGGGTAATCGCACACGCCTAGAGACCAACAAGGGGCCGGCGGATTGGGACTATTTTTTAATGTTTCGTCCAGTATCCGCCTGTAGGGGGACATGCCCGATCTAACCTCAACCGTCCGCTCATCGTCCATGGATCCCGAGGGCCCCACTCCGCCTGGGAGTATGCGGCTTTGCTGCGGGGGCCCATCGCTGGTGTACTTCGGCGATGCGTCGCCGATCCCATCACGATGTTGCTCCCCCGCCCCGTAGTCGGTGCCCCCCCGACCGGAGCCCTCAAGGGTCCCGGGTCGCGAGGCCGTGGGTGTGGGAGACGTGGCCCCCGCCTGCGGAGGAAATTGCAGGATTTTGTTGCCGGCGGCGCCGGCCTCCTCCATCAGAAGGGCGGGGAAGACTAAGGGGGAGGAGCTGAGGGTCAGTGTAGGCCCAGGGCGTGTCAACGATGTTGCAATACACCCTCCCTCCAAGTGCCGTCTTCACGGGTCCCTGCAAGAATGTAGGTTCATTGCTGGAAGTGCCCCATTGGGAAACAACTGTGCGATAATCTTCAACCTGCGCCGAGACATAATTCCTGGGACGTCAGCGCCGCGAATCGAGAGGCTGCGAGCAGGAAGAGAGTACGAGTAGGAATATGGTGAAGGCCTTCCCTTGGCATCGCTCGGACGTGTGCATTTTCCTTCGGCGAGGACAATCGAGGAGCATCCTTGATCATTTGGCGAAAAAACCACGCACGAAGCCGACAAAAAGCACAGGGAATGGACGTCCGAGCGATGGCGAGTGACGGCCTTACGACCGGGGCGGGACCTCCCCAACGACCCCCGGGATCCCGGGAGGGGGCGGCATTCTGATCCGGACCACCACCTTCCCAGCGGGCGGGGCTTCCCCCCGGAGGGAGCGGCCCCCCCTGCCCCCTTGTCCACGGGGGGAGGGCCCCACGGGACCCGCCAAGAGCCCCAGGGGAGGCGGCGGCAATCTGACCCAGGATCCGCCCCCGTACCCCCTTTTCCCCTCCTCGCACCTTGCCCCCATACCACCCCCACCCCTCGTCGGGGAGGGGAACCGAGGGAGGGAATCGGCTTGACTGCGACGTTTCTTTCCTCTGTTCGTTCCTTTTTTTCTTTGGACTGGCGGCGACGACGAAGATTGACACGCGCCGAGGGGTCGGCGGGTTTTAGAAGATTACTGGGCAAGATGATGGCGATGAGGTGAGCAATGAGGAGGTGGAGGAGGACGAGGACGAGGACATGGATGAGGAAGAGGAGGACAGCGAGAAAGAGATGAAGAGGATGAGGATGTGACGAGGAGGTGAAGGGGAGGGGGCGAGGAGGACGGTACCCATTCGACGCACGTCCGAAAACCTCGATTCTCGAACCTCGATCCTCGGCTCTTGAATCTCGATCCTCAAACCTCGAATCTAGACCCCCGAACCTTGATCTTCGAAGCTCGATCATGCAGCCTCGATCCTCAGTCCCCTTTGTCGGACGAGTGAGTTGAAGAAGCAGCCCTTCAGGTGATACTCGGCTACGACCAGCCCGCCCTGAGCGCCGCCTGGGCAGAGCTCCAGGAGAGTCTGGCGCAGGCGTGTTCGGCTCGGCGGGGCGCCCTTGGGCCAGCGGTTCGCCAAGAAGAGGGAGGCGGCGGGAGACGGAGAAGGTAGAAGGGAGACAGAGAAGGACGAGGACGAGGACGGGGACGAGGAGGAGGAGGAGGAGGAGGAGGAGGAGGATGAGGAGGAGGAGGAGGAGGAGGAGTAGGAGAAGGCGGAGGAGGAGGAGGAGGAGGAGGTGGAGCTTGAGGAGGAGCTTGAGGAGGAGAAGGAGGAGGACGACGACGAGGAGGACGAGAAGGAGGAGAGTGACGAGGAACGGTTGGAGAGTGGGGGCGAATCCTGGATTGAGGCTCTTGGACATGTGATACGTCGCCGCGTGATCTGTTCAGCTGCGCGGCCCAAGGCGGCTCCGAAACGGCCGAGTAGACGTCCGAGACGGCCTGAGAGTGCCCCAACCACTTGGTATCACTCGGACGTGTGCACTTTTTTGGGGCCGGGATTATTAAGGAGCATCCTGGATCATCCTGCGAAAAAGCCACGCACGAAACCGAAAAAAACACAGGGAATGGACGTCCGAGCGATGGCCAGACCATGGCCCAGGATCGAGAACGTGATCCGAAAGCCCGAGATCTTCGCCCAGGAGACCTCCAGGAGGCTTCAAGAGGTCCCCAAGACGCTCCACAGAGGCCAGAGGGGGCCCCCAAAAAGACGCCCCGAGGGCACTTGAGAAGCATGGAATTGCAACATTTGTCAAGTTCGCCTGGCAGTTTGGCTACGGTTGCCAAACCAGTACATATCACATTTCGTCCTCGTCTTCCTCCTCGTCCTCCTCCTCCTGTTCCTCCTCCTCTGCGGCCCCTCCTCGTCCTCCTCATCCTCCTTCTCCCCAGGCAACCCCATTCTCCTCGCCCTTTGCTCCTTCGCCGTGGATGGATCGTAGGAGGTCTTGGAAGCCACTTGGGTCGTCTTTGTGATTCTTGGAAGCCCTGGAGAAATAAGTATCATACAATAGAGGTTCCCGAGAGTTCGACCATCCAGCCTAGCTAGAACTTGAGCGCGCGCGAAGCGCGAGCGATGGTTCTCATGTGTATTTGCGTATCTGTATGTGAAGATGCGTGCGCACGAACAGGCTCATGACTCTACATCGATGCAGACATGCATACCACACACGAGCTAATTGCACTCACTGACAGACTGGTGTCGCCGGCCGGTGCCGAGGCCAGCGCACATCGGACGCTGCCCCGATCGCCCCCGGCCAACCTTCTCACCTTTAGGGCCGTCTTGCATGTATGTGTCGTACGGCTACCGTCGCGAAAGAGGGGTGTTAAAAGTCTTTCCCCGTTCCAGAAAGCATTTGACGACATCGCTGTTCGAACAGAGGTCTACCCATGAAAGAAGCCATGCATACAGAAACGCGTCAAGCCAAGCCGAGAGCCCACACACACATTCTATGATACGCCCCAGTCGGACGGGCGGGCTCTGTATCGGTCTTTCCTTGTTGCTTCCAACCGTGCGCGTATGCACCTCTCTTCAAGCGCTACCTTTCCATTTGCTTTCAGGCGCTGATGGACTGGTTCGGGAAAGAGGGCCCGGTGTACCACGACGACGGGCCCGAACCCGGGACTTGGCGCCTCTGTTGCAAGATATTGGATTTACCTTGCCTTCCAAAACTCTACTCCTCTCCGGATATTCGAGATGAGGCGAGCAATGCGACTTAGAAGGCAAGGAGGCACACCCAACAGAGAAATGGAGACATGGCCTGAGGGCAGGAGTCTTCCGAACCTGAGCAGGAGGCCTACCGATTGTCCGAGGTCTGTCAGACTTCACCGCGCCTGGGCACGTCTTTGGGATCATTTCGGGTCATGCTTCTCCGGTGTTCTGGGGGGCGGTTCGCCAACGGCCGGCTCCCCCGTACATCGTATGTTCGGGGGTTGTGGTGAGGGGGCGTCTATGAACACGACGTGCACCGTTGCGTTGTTCCCTCCGCGTCCATCACACAGGCTCACCTGCACAAACTCACTGCGGGGGCTGCGGGGGCGCGGACCCCAGTTCTACGGGCGATTCTTAAGGCGTCAAGGTTGCGACGAGCTGTGGTGGACCGGGTTTCTCGCGCCACGCTTCTGGAATGTTCGTTTGATTTTTTCGTTTCTCCTGGTTCTCTTGTATAGTTCCCAACCATCCTCTGGTGTTGGGTCCTCGTTTTGAAGAGACGGTCCCCGCGTTCGCTCCTCCCGCTGCCCCCCCTCCTCCTCCTCCTCCTCCTCCTCCTCATCTTTCTCCTCCTCCTCCTCCTCCTCCTCCTCCTCCTCCTATCATCATTATCATCGTCATCATCATCATCATCGTCATCATCATCATCATCATCACCATCATCATACGCATACTCATACTCATTCTCATCATCATCATCATCATCATCATCAGCAGCAGCAGCAGCAGCAACATCATCATCATCACCATCATCATCATCAGCATCAGCATCGTCATCATCATTGTCATCATCCTCATCATCATCGCCGTTATCGTCACCATCATCATCACCCATTTTAGCACACCCCTCACACGTCTCGTGGCCACAAAGGGGGGGCCCACCGAAGGCCCAAATGCCAGCGTGCGCATGCGCCGTCCGCATGCAGTTCCACTTCAATTTCGGCGCACCCATCACACGTTTCATGGCTCCACAGGGTGCTCCGCCGAAGGCCCCAGTGGCAGGGTCCGCATGCAGTTCCACCTACATCGCGGCGCACCCATCACACGCTTCGTGGCCCCATGGGAGCTCCACCGAAGGCTCCAGTGGCAGGGTCCGCATGCAGTTCCACCTCGATTTCGGCGCGCCCCTCACACGCTTCGGGGTTCCATAGCGTGCTCCGCCGAAGGCCCCAGTGGCAGGGTCCGCATGAAGTTCCACCTTCATTGTGGCGCACCCATCACACGCTTCGTGGATCCATAGGGAGCTCCACCCGTGTCCCAGTGGCAGGGTGTGCATGCAGTTCCACCTCCATTTCGGCGCACCGCTCATACGCTTCGGGGCCCCATAGTGTGCTCCGCCGAAGGCCCCAGTGGCAGGGTCCGCGTGCAGTTCTGCCTCCATTTCGGCGCTCCCCTCACACGTTTCGTGGCTCCATAGGGTGCTCCACCGAAGGCCCCAGTGGCAGATGCAGCTCCCCTACCTCCAATTCGGCGCACCCCATCACACGCTTCGTGGCCCCATAGGGTTCACCGCCGAAGGCCCCAGTGGCAGGGTCCGCGTGCAGTCCCACCTCCACTTCGGCGCACCCCTCACACGTTTCGTGGCTCCATGGGGTGCTCCGACAGAGGCCCCAGTGGCAGGATCGGCATGCAGTTCCACCCCCAGTTCGGCGCACGTTTCGGGGCCCCACTGGGAACACCACCGAAGGCCCCAGTGGCAGGGTCCGCATGCAGTTTCACCTCCAGTTCGGCGCACCAATCACACGTCTCATGGCTCCACAGGGTGCTCCGCCGAAGGCCCCAGTGGCAGGGTCCGCATGCAGTTCCACCTGCATTGCGGCGCACCCATCACACGCTTCGTGGCCCCATGGGAGCTCCACCGAAGGCTCCAGTGGCAGGGTCCGCATGAAGTTCCACCTCCATGTCGGCGCGCCCCTCACACGTTTCGGGGCCCATAGGGTGTACCGCCGAAGGCCCCAGTGGCAGGGTCCGCATGCAGTTCCACCCTCACTGTGGCGCACCCATCACACGCTTCGTGGCTCCATAGGGTGCTCCACCGAAGGCCCCAGCGGCAGGGTGCGCATGCAGTTCCACCTCCATTTCGGCGCACCGCTCATACGCTTCGGGGCCCCATAATGTGCTCCGCCGAAGGCCCCAGTGGCAGGGTCCGCGTGCAGTTCTGCCTCCATTTCGGCGCTCCCCTCACACGTTTCGTGGCTCCATAGGGTGCTCCACCGAAGGCCCCAATGGCGGGGTCCGCATGCAGCTCCCCTACCTGCAGTTCGGCACACCCCTCACACGTTTCGTGGCCCCATAGGGTGCACCGCCGAAGGCCCCAGTGGCAGGGTCCGCATGCAGTTCCACCTCCATGTCGGCGCACCCCTCACACGTTTCGTGGCTCCATGGGGTGCTCCGCCAGAGGCCCCAGTGCCAGGGTCCGCATGCAGTTTCGCACCCCCAGTTCGGCGCACGTTTCGGGGCCCCACAGGGAACACCACCGAAGGCCCCAGTGGCAGGGTCCGCATGCAGTTCCACCTTCACTTCGGCGCACCCATCACACGCTTCGTGGCTCCATGGGGTGCTCCGCCGAAGGCCCCAGTGGCAGGGTCCGCATGCAGTTCCACCTCCACTTCGGCGCACCGCTCACACGCTTCGTGGCTCCATGGGGTGCTTCGCCGGAGGCCCCAGTGGCAGGGTCCGCATGCAGTTCCACCTCCATTTCGGCGCACCCATCACACGTTTCGTGGCTCCATAGGGAGCTCCACCCAACGTCCCAGTGGCAGGGTCCGCATGCAGTTCCACCTCCAGTTCGGCGCACCCCATCACACGTTTCGTTGCCCAATCGGACGCTCCGCCGAAGGCCCCAGAGGTAGTGTCAATGTGCAATTCCACATCAATGTCGGCGCATGCCTCATACGTTTCGTGGCCCCATAGCGTGATCCGCCGAAGGCCCCAGTGGCAGGGTCCGCATGCAGTTCCACCTTTATTTTGGCGCGCCCCTCACACTTTTTGGGGCCCCATAGCGTGCTCCGCCGAAGGCTACAGTGGCAGGGTCCGCATGCAGTTCCACCTCCATTTCGGCGCACCCCTCACACGTTTCGTGGCCCCTTGGGGTGCTCCACCGAAGGCCCCAGTGGCAGCGCCCGCACGCGGTTCCACCTTGCACAGTCCGGCGCACCCCTCACACGTTGCGTGGCCATATAGGGTGCTCCACCGACGGTTCCGGTGGCAGCGTCGGCATGCAGTTCCATCGGCATGCAGTTCCACTTTCATTCAGGCGCACCCCTCATTCGTTTCGTAACCCCACAGGGTGCTCCGCCAAAGGCCACAAGGGCAGAGTCCGCATGCACTTCCACCTCCAGTTCGGCGCACCCCTCACACGTTTCGTGGTCCCATGGGGAGCTCCACCGAAGGCCCCAGTGGCAGGGTCCGCAAGCAGTTTCGACATTTCGGCACAGCCTTCGAACGTTTCGCGGCCCCAACAGGGAGCCCCACCGAAGGTCCCAGCGGCTGCGATCGCTTGCGGCTAGGGAGCTCCACCGAGGGAACTCCAGTATTCACAACTGCATATGGTTGGGTCCTTCGCCAGGGTAACTTGTTTTCTGTATGTGCAGGAGCGCTCCTTTGCGATGTGCGTTCAGTGGCTCCACCTTCACGCTTGTCTCGCTGAAGCGCTGCGTCGTGAAAAACTGGTTTCTGATGGGGGATCATCAACTATCTAGGACGGCGGCGGCGGTCCAAGCGAAGCTCCGATGCAGATGCAAGTGCCAAGTTGCGCTCATAAGAATTGCTTCCAGCGCAGATAGCGCTTTGAGTAGCATGCGGTTCGTTTGCTGGATTCTGAGCATGTGTTCTTGTCGAGTCGGAGTTCTTTGCAGGCATGGTTACCCAGATGCGCCCATTTCACAGCGATTAATCAGCAGTACTTTGAACATTGGCTAGTCCTGCACAGCCTTGCGGAGACAATTGCCAGCATGTTCATGCTGTGTTGCGCAACGTGCTCTCGGTAGCATCCTCCTTGAATTTCTGTTTCTAAGACATGTTGTGTGACGCTTGGCAGCCAGGGCAGGGGCAATTGGCTCTGATTCGTTCCAAAGTGCATCTTCAATCGGGCAGCAGAGTTGAAAGAAAACGAGATCGACGCAGGATGAGCCTTGTTGTCAGCCCGTTTGAGAACAAGACGTTCAGAGTACTGATTGCCAGCTACGTTGAGGATGTGGCTTTGCACGCTTCCCAGGTATCACAGCTTTGCATGTTCGATGTCGTGTATTTTTTGGCACCTCCGATGGGGAGCGATGGGCGTTTCGATGGACCATCTCCGAGCCAGGCACGTAGGAGTGAGACAAATCAACAGTACGAGCCGCAGTGCAGAGGTCAATGAATTCACGGAGGGTACGGTTCACGCTGTGAGCAGCACACCGAGCTGACACGCGACTGGGCACGGTTGCAATTACTATACGTTGTGTCTTGTCCTTTGCCACGTGTGTGTCTGGGCCGCAGAGCGGGCACAGAGACGTCACTTGCCCTTTGCCTGGGAAGTGGCAGCGCTTCTCCTGCACGAGCCCCCCCCCCCGGAAAAGAAGGAGCAACACATGTCAGTTTGACCAGGTTATCTTCCATTCGACTCGAGCATGTCGCCAGCTCCCTTCAGAACATAGCCTGGCGCTAGCAGTTGCGGGCAACGCTGTCAGCTCAGTCGTGTCGGCTTGCACCATCGCATCCAAGCGAACATGTGCAGCTGAAGCCTGAAGTAAGACACGCACTGCAATAATCTCGAACCATGGATCTGCACTCAGAATGTGGGAGCTTCTGGAACTGTGGGAGGCTGGGGCGGGGGGGAACCCAGGGAATGGCCCTGGCCAGCAGGGCATGCCCGCTCCGTTCTGAGTGCAGAAACGGGTTAGGGATAGTCGTTGTTTTCCGTAGTTAGGGGTTTGCAGGGAGCCAGGAGGAGTTGCGTTTCAGTGCAGGGGCGCATTGGGGGAGGGGTATGGTTGATCGTGTCTCGCACTTGTGTGGGTGCAAATGAAGTGCGTATCAAACTCATGTTAACAATTAAGCATAAGCATCTGTTCGAAAGTTGTTTCTAACAGACGCAGTTCCAGCAGACGCAATTTCGCTATACACGTTATACACGTTGTCAGGTGCTTCACAAGTGAGTCGGAAATCAGAAGCAGCTCGCCCATGAAGTACCGCTTTCGATTCCACGATGTCTGACGTTTTCTCAGGCCAAGCACACAATGGCTGCAATGGTAGTGTCAAGCGACCGTCCACTAATGATTTGAGCGGGTTTGGAACAGTATGCCACATCTTGCCGTCCAACCCAATGTGTTTACGCACGTTGTGTGGCGCACGGTATGCTCCTCCAATTTCTGTGTGCCTGCACTGTGCGAGTTGCGCGAATAATTTTGAAACATCTCCTGATGTGCATGACTTGGAAAGTATCCGGCAGCTTGTGATGGGCCTGGTTTCCACCACCACCACCACCATAAGTTGGAGGGGGGAGGGAGGTGGAGGACGAGGAGGAGGAGGACGAGGAGGAGGAGGAGGTGGAGGAGGTGGAGGAGGAGGAGGAGCAGGAGGAGGATGACCCCCCCTCCAACTTATGGTGGTGGTGGTGGAAAACAGGCCCAGCAGCTTGAGGAAGCAGTGCCTGAAGGTGACCCCACAGGCGAGGATCGCTCGAGTTCCCCAGGACCTCCGAAATCGCCCCCCCCCCCTCCGCCTTCTCCGCCCTGGGTTCTGGCTTCTTACCCCTGACACCGTTGGTCGTGGCTGCTCTTCGTGGCATCTCTTGGCAGCAGGGCCTTCATTGCGGCGCTTGTCTCAATACGAAGGGCACAACGGGATCCCCAGAATTGTGAGGACATGTCGGACAACGGGTCCAGCGTTTCATCTGTCCAGCGTTGGTTGTAATCTTGACAGATGGGAAAGGCTGGCTCACAGGATAGTGAGGAGGCAGCGGAGCGCCTCCAGACTAACTTGGCGAAGCTGCAGGAGACGCGCTCCGATGACATCTTCGAGGTTGCCATGTTTCTGTACGACGGCTCAGATAAGCACTTCAGAGAAAGGCCGTGGTACGCCGACCCAAACGGCGTGGTAGCCCGGCGTACCAATCAGAGCGGCCGCGCTTATTTTCTTAAGGTGTCGACCAGAGGGGAGGGAAGTAGTAGACAGGGCCAGGACAAGGATGAATCCGTTCCAGAGCGTTCGGGAACGTTCTCAGAACGTTCAGGAAAGCTATGAGAAGGCCGCGTCGCCCGAGACATCCTCCAGAGCCGCTGGATCTCGGAGATGGTCGATTTATCCTCACCAGGATTTATCCTCGTCCTGGCTTCGTCTTACAGATGGGACGGAAGTAACGCATGTGGAGTTTCTGGAGGTTCTGGGTTGCCAAGCTACGCAGACGTGAGATGCACTTATCGAGCCCCTCTCGTCCCCTGGAAGCGATATATTTCTCCCCCCAGTCCCTGAGTGCGAGATCCCGCCAAGATCCCAATGGGTTTCTAACAGCACCCCAATCGGAGTCCAATTGAGGGACCAAGAGGATTTCTGCAAGAGTCAAGGAGGACCCCAAACGCATTCCAATTGGATTCCAACAGTTCAAAGAGGATCCCTGTACGATCCTAATGGAATTCCAATCGGACTCCAGTCGGATTCCAATGAAATTCCGATCGGATTGTAATGGGATCCGAGCCGATCGCAAGTTTTTAGACACTGAGTCACAGCATGTTGGATCCAGTATTGGTCCATTGGTGGGCGGCTTCTCTGGCTGCTCAAAGAGGGTGCACATATCCTGAGTAGCGTTTGCCTTTATAGTTTCCTGGTTGATCAGGACCAAGGGAGGCAAAACCACCCGGACCCGAGACATGGCGTTTTCCAAACGGCCCTGCGCGTTTACAGAAACAGCCCTGCCCCGTTCGACTCCTTCTGTGGCTGCGTTTGAGCGAAGACGGCTCCGCGCGTCGGGGCGCTCTATTCCGGGGGTGGCTAGTTCCTGCCCTCTACAGAAGGCGTGGGTGGCGCTGCGTGGCCGCCCGAGGTCTCGCCCGGTGCTGCGTGGGTGGCCGCCGCGTGGGCGCCCCGCACGCGCTGGGTGGCCTGCCGGGGCTGCCGCCCGGGGTGCACGCCCGCGGGCGCCTCGCGGGCGCTCGGGGGGGCGGCCTCTCGCAGGAGGACCCCGCACCCCCCAACTCGAGGCCTCCCAGATTCGTGCCGGGCGATCGCCAACATGGATCAAGGGGGCGTGGATTAGCGACGGGTCCTGTTTCTATGGGTGGTCGCGGATCTCCGCCGCCCAACGAGGCGGCACCGGCCGCATTTTGGGGAGGGCACCTCCCCCGATCCATGGATTTGGCGACAGCGCGCCAAATCCATGGATCGCTAATCCATGTTTGCGCGCCCCCTGTTATGGTGTTGTAACCTGCTTTAGCCTTGGCCACCAGAAAGAGTTTCGAGCACTAAGAGAAATTGCCGAACCATGAGGATGTTCGCGTGCCGGGCCCTAGGAGGCGATGCTCGTTCGACATTGGTTCGACATGTTTCTGGGTGCTCGAAAGTCTTTCTGGGATATGGTCCTTCAGTACGATGGGAACAACCTAATCCCAGATGGGGTCGGAGGATCGCGACGCATCGCCGGTGCATCGGCGATGCGGCTCGATGTGGAGCCCGATCTTCTCCATGCCGATGGCGCCGATGACGCGCCGACATCGCCGATGCATCGGCGATCTGGCGCGATCCTCCGATCCCCCTCTACTCGGACCTCATCTAGGCATCTAGGAGGCCTCTACCATCCCCCACCATCGTCGCACATTTCTTCTTCAATGTGTTCTGCACGACCGCTCATCTGAAGAATCCAAGATCTACCATGCCAGCCAAGTCAGGATCGACCACCCCGTCGCCACTTCCTGCAACAAACACCATGCAGTGCACATGAGTTGGTCGAACAAGTGTTTCTCTAAGAACCCTGCCGCTCCGGGGCATAGGCGCTCGCCGCCGCACGCGCAGGTCAAACGTATTCGAACATCGCTAAGTATACGACGTTCAAGGGTGATCGATTAACAACGGGCACAAACGATGCGGCGTTCACGAAAGGCAGTTGCCATACATGTGCGCGCAATTGCTGAAGCCACAAGAACACCATTGGTGGTTTGCCATCCTGCCGAATGTGATCGTGCGGGCAACACACGCTCGCATATCGAACACAGCTCGTGATCATCATCAGCAGCATCATCAGCATCATCAGCATCATCATCATCATCATCATCATCATCATCATCATCATCATCATCTCGCGCCTGCCAACACTGCCAGCCAATATCATGCGCGCCACGCGCGCGCCTCCTCGCGCGCACGTCGAATTCCTTCGAACACCCGCGTCCTTGCAATCAAGAACAAAGAGTTCCCAATACGAGTAATTACACATTCCAATTGTTGTTTGCGGGCACGCACTTCCTCATCGCCCTCATCACCAAAGCCATTTAGTTTGGGGGCGCGCACATCTTCACCATCCCATTTAGAGCAATCGTTATCATGATCGTCGGGGTCATCGTTGCCGCCGTCATCGTCGACGTCGTTGCCGTCGTCAAATTTCTGCTCGTGGACACTTTCATTATCATCATCAGCACCATCGTTGTCATCATCGCCAGGGCCATCGTTGCAACCGTCATTGCCATTGCCATCACCACCAGCTTCATCACCATCATCGTCGCCGATATCATTCTCACCGTTGCCAGGGTCACTAAAGCCATCGTCATCGTTGCTGTAGCCTCTCAGCTTGGGTGTGCCAACAACACGATGCGGGCGAATGGGTCGAACTTTAAACGAGCATTCGGGGCTGGTGATGCGCGGGCGTGGCCCAACTCAGGTGCGCCACACACAATGCACAACATGGTTGCGTGATATATGTATGTGTATGTATTAAGTTACGTGGGTGGCACATCCAGGGTACAACGACCCACTCGTCTGGGCCCACTTTGGAAACTATGATTCCCGCTTGCGCCACGCCACCGATCTCATCACTAACGCGATCAGCATCACCATCGTCGGGATCATCGCCACCACCGTCATCGTCGATGCCCCTGCCCCTGCGAAATTGCTGCGGGCAGGCCCTCCACCATCATCATCACCAGCATCATCCTCATACTCATCACCAGAGCCATCGTCGCCATCATCGCCATCGCCCTCGTCCCAAGTGCCATTATCATCACGATCAGCGTCATCGTCATCACCATCGTCGCCGGCGGTATCACATCGCCCCCATCTCCGTTGTCCGTCCAATTGGCAAAAGCGTCATCGCCACTTCATCCCCATCGTGGATGTCCTCGCGGCCGTCGCCATCGCCACCACTGTCTCGCGACCTGCAGGGCGGACGTGTCTGCGGGGTTGAGTTCCACGTGCCCGTGCGCTCGTCGAGGCCATTGGCAAGTACTGCCAACAAGTTGCGGGCGGGATGGTGGGGTCTCTGCACGGGCAGCGGAGCTGACGACTGCAATGTCCACAGGTGGAGTGCACCACGTACCTTGCGCCACAGGAGTCAAGGTGCCCACTTTTTGTTGGGTGGGGGGGTGGGGCGTGTGACAAGCATTACTATAAGCCTTACGTGCGCCATCCAGGTGGTGCTGCGGCGGATGGAGAAGCTGTGCAAGGCTGAGGCGTTGTACCTCATTACCCCAGACCTGGCATCCAACTATAGTCACATATGGCTTCTTGATGGATGGGGGGCCAGGGCACGCATCGCCTTACTGGTCACGGAGTGAGAGAGAGAGAGAGAGAGAGAGAGTGAGAGAAAGAACAAGAGAGAAATCAAGAGCGAGCGAGAGAGAGGGAGAGCGAGGAAAAGAAGGAGAGAGAGCTCGGGACGAATCGAATTTGTATAATACTGGTGGACGTAAGGGGAAGGAAGGAGAGAGAGAGAGAGGGAAAGAGAGAGAGAGAGAGAGGCGAAGGCGAAGGGTCCCGAGCTCGGGCTCCACCGCCGAGCGGAGGGTTGCCTGCGGGGCCGCCCCCTGGAGGAGACGACGAAGGTGCGTCCCCGAGGAGCAGCTCAACCTGCGCCGTCAACGAGGGCCTGGAGTTGTTGTGTCGCACCCTCAGGAGCTTCGCTGCGATCTGGGTCTTCGGCCTGCGGCACCCCGACTGCGCGGAGCGCTGCTGGCTGGCCTGGGCGGCGCGGTACGCCTTCGCGTGGCCGCGCAAGGCGGGCCACGCCGCCGCCTGCGCGGAGGCCCTCCAGCGGGCGGGACCGATCGGTTTGCAGGCCCTGGTCCAGGCGTTGGTCAGGCAGGCGTGGCTTCGCAAGGCGAACGTGCGGCGGGCCACTTGCAATCACCTGCTCGACTTGCCGTTCACGGACTGGCACCACGTGGCTGCAATGCTGTGGGCGTCCGTCGACGAGGTGGTCCGTACCATCGAGGCCCTGACAGGGGCGGAGGCGGCGGCCAGCCTGCCCGAGCTCCTTGGCTTCGCTGGCCCGCTGCCTGGAGAGGGGCCCCAGGAGCGGCGCCGCCACCCAGGTCGGCATCTTGCCGCTGGTCGCAGCGAAACCCCCTGCTTCTGGCGTGGCGCTCCCGTGGCTGGCCCTGACACCCTCCTGGGGCAGGAGGAAGGGCCTAGACAGCGATGACGACGCTCCCGATCCTGACGCAGCGCCTTCAGGCTTCCTACCGCAGCCGCCTGCAGGTCTGCCTGGCGAGGACGGGGACGAGGACATGGTGGGCCCTGCTGTGGAGGTGGACATCAACGGCATCCCGCCGTGGGAGGACGTTGCGCAACCCCCGCCTGCAGCCGAGGGCGAGAGTGCCCAGGGCGGCCCAGTGCAGCCCCCCCCCCCCCCGACACGGCCGCGGCGAGTGCTCCGTCTGGCCTGCCCGTGGCGGCTGCCTGCGCGCTGGCCGCGGCTGCGGTGGCCGTGGCGGCGCCTGGCTGCCACCGCCGCCTGCAGAGGGAAGGCTGTCGCGCAGCCCGACGCGGCGCCAGCCGGCCAGAACACCACGCGGGGAGGTTTGCTTGCTGAGCCAGGAGCTGGGCCACGGCATGAGAGAGGTGGGGCCCTTCGCCTTCTGCTGCAAGCGCGGGGCCTTCGCCAAGCTGCAGGGCGCGGACCGCGCCAAGGGTCTGAAGGTGGTGTGCGGCGGCCGCCTGCCGCAAGGCTCGTCAACGACAGCAGGCGTGAAGAAGAAGAGGCAGTACTTCGCCCGCGTCATGGAGAGGCGATGCCCCGACACGGGGAAGCCGCTGGGTTAAGGCTGAGCGGCGGCCTGGCTGCTCCTGCGCTTGCAGTGCTGGCGTGCTGGCGGCTGGACCCTTCCTTGGGCCGTGCGTCTGGCCCCTGTGGCGTCGCCAGCTGGGGGAGCGTGCGGCCGATCGACGGCCGAGGGCCGAACGGCGGGCTGGGGCTCGCCGCCCTGAGGCGCGGGCTGGCGGCGTGAGGCTCCCGCGCTCCCGGGGGCGGAACGCTGCGCGCTTGCGGCCGAGCCTCGACTCGTCCGCGGCCGCGCCGAGGGCGGCGCGGGAGAGAGAGAGAGAGAGAGAGAGAGAACGCAAACCAGCAACAACGGAGAGAGGGAGAAGGAGAGAGAGAGAGAGAGAGACAACAACACAGGGAGAGAGAGGGAGAGGGAGAGGTAGAGCAACAGACTAACCGCAGGCGGGTGTTCTTTTTCGATTTCGCAATCGCGATTCGTATATGGATGTGGGGCGGCCGAAGCGATGTCGCACGGCGACCCCATACAAATTGTCGCTTGGCCTTCCGAGTGTCCACACCCCCTGAACCAAGTAAAATGGAATTTCTTGAGCCGTCAGGGAAGAGCGAGTAGCCGAGTCATGCTTAAAGGGCAGTCTAGGCTTGAGGTGTTGCATCCCGCCTATCTTCTCAATGCAGGAGATGGGAGATGAGAGTACGAAGCCTGGGAACGGTTGTCCAAATGACCGCCCGCCTTTCCTGTTCAAAAGCCGCCCAGATCATTACGTCCCCTTCTGTCGTCGGTCCCCTTGCGTCGACGAGCCGAATCCAAGCCGAAGCAGCCGCGCTGTTGCAGGACTGTGGTCCACCCTTCTCATTACCCTCGAATCATACTTGCGTCGCACACCGTAGACCGCGCCATGCGATTATGAACGTCCAAGAGCTCCCCCTATGTCTCCCGTGCGTGGTCTGTTGACAGCTTATAGTGTTCGACGCTGCTCATTTCGTCCTTCCTTTGGGGGCGCCCCCGGAACAAATACGACCTCCCGACTTCGAAGCATGTCTGAAGGTTGCCAGCGGTTGGCAGCAGAGAGGATCGTCGTGCGAATGGAGCGCTGGTCTGACACGAGGCAGGGGCCCCGAAACCTGACCATGGCTAAGAGGGCCTTATTCCACGCGGAGAGGACGAAGACTGGAGAATGCTCCGCCCCACGGCTGCAGTTGTTCGGGCCTGCCGACGCCGTGGTTTTTTGCAGTCCTTGTTTGGGAGGGTCCTCCCTCCGTCCCTCCTCCTAATTTTGTTGCGCATGTGTTTCGCATCGCATGTTGTCCAGCCGCGCCAGATTCCCGAGGCCACGGCCTCGCCCACCCAGTGTTGACTAGGCCCGGACGCTGTCCGCAACGGCGGTCGCATCGCATGGAAGAGCTGGTACGCCGTGCAGTCCAGAATGTGTCTGCCCTCGGCGTGCGCGTTCATCAGGCAGGCTGTATGCTCTTCGGTCGCATTCGGAAGCGGAGAGCTGGTGCCAGCATCCGGACCGCGGAGCACGTGCCGCCCGCGGTGCCGTGCTGGGCCGCACCGTGCCAGGCCCGCGCGTCGTGCCGTGCTTGGCTCTCAACGTGCGCGCGGGGCACCAACCGCGCGCCGTGCCGCGCCCGTTTGCACACCTGCGTGCCCAGCTTCTGGCGTGGGAGCCGTGCCGTGCCCGCGTGCCCGCGCGCCGTGCCGTGCCGTGCCTCGTCGCCGAGGCCGCGCCTCGCTTGCGAGGCCGCGGCCAGGCCGCCGCCCGCTTGCCGTGCCGTGCCGTGGCGTGCCGTGGTTCCTCGTGTGCCGTGCCGTGCCGTGCCGTGCCGTGCTTGTGTGTGTGTGGAACGCGGAGCGCTTCCCGTGTCATACCATGCCGTGCCGGGTTTCCAGAATGCGATGGAGTTGCCGTGCCGTGCAGTGCCTGTCTCGACTTTGAGAATGCCAGCGACATGCGGTGCCGTGCCGTGCCTGGTGTTCAGCATGTGAAGAAGTTGCCGTGTTGCGTTGTGCCGACCATGCGTCTTATCATGCAACGTTGGTGTTTAGGGTTTCTATGCGGGTGTAACTTGTAACTATTACACGGGTGCGCATGGTGGGTCTTATAGGAACGTGGTTAAGACATTTGTGCACATCAGAGTGTCTTTGTGAGCCTGTTGTAACTATGGCCATGGCTGCCCCCAGTGGCTGTCATTTACTGACTGAAGCAGGCAGCCATCGGCCGATCCACCAGTGTGCTTCGAGACTCGCGACTTGCTGGGCTGACATCGCCGACATGGTCGAGTGAGCGTTGAGAGCAGGTTCGCAGCCGATAGTTGTGTATATGGTTATCGAGTAGAAGGCCTGGTGCCCAGACATATCAAAGCCGTTGCCCTTGGTACGAAGATTTCTCCGTACCAGCTGTGGCGATCATAACCTGGCAGTTTGATTGGAAGTGGATTACTGTTACGTTGCGACGCCCAGGCGAAACACATTACGAATAACGCAATCCCGTTTCAACATCAACGTGCTAGCATTGCTTGCTCGATAACTAGAGGGGTGCAAGAAGGCAGTCGTGCTCGCAGGCAATGGACGACATGACAGATCGCACATAGGCATGTAGAGTTCAGATGCAGGTCGTTTGCGTGTCGTGGGGAGGCGGCCTGAGCCTGGACATGTTTTCCTGGAGCATCTATCACAATGTCCTGGCCGCGTTGGAGCCGCTGGTGTCGCTGCCCGCGATGCTGCCCAGGAGCTGTTCGCCGTGGCTACATCAAAGGCGTACGCAATGTTCTGCACATAAAAGCGCCCTGCACTCTGCGAAAGCAACTCGCGGCGGCCATCTGGCGCCCTGTTGTAAGCACCCAGGCTTGCCGCGTGCTGTCGTGCCTTCTCTCGAGAAAGGTCCGTGCCAACGAGTCGCATGATGCTCACTGTCTCTTGGGCCAGATGTCAACTGCTTGCGCCCTACGAATGGGCATTGTGGCTGACGCCATCCCGCCCAGGGCCTCTTGGTACGATCCTGGAGCAGAGTGGCGGTGGAAGCGAACGCGATCCGAAACGGGCGCGAGCAGACGCGAGCAGCGAGACCACTTCGCATTGGTACCATCACCCAGGCTGGCTTCTGGTGTGGTTTTCCGGTGTCGCCTTTTCTGTCGCCCTGCTATGTTATTGCTATGTTACTGCTGTGATGTTGGCACGCTAGTGCCATACTATGGCCATGCTTGCGCCATATTCTTGACGCTTCACGTATCCCCACCAGCTCATCCGGCAACGATGCCCAGACGAGTTGCCCTGATCAGAGAAGTGGGGGGAGGGGGCAAGGGAGGAAGAGGGAGCACGTAGAAGAAGTTAGAGGAGGCGGATAAGGACGAGGAGGGCGAGCAGGAAGATAAGAGGCCGCTTGGCAGCCCCTCAGAATTGTTTGGGGTGTCTCTTGGGAGCTTCTTGGAGGCCTTTTGGAGCGTCTTGGGGGCCTCTTGGCGGTCCTGGGGGCGTCTTCGGTACCTCGGGGGAGCCTCTTGGGGCCTTTGGGGGGCCGCTTGGGGGCCTCTTGAGGTTCCTGGGCGCCTCATGCTGTCGCCATGCAGTTGCCATGCAGTTGCCATGCTATCGCCATGATGTTGCCATGCTATTGCCATGCGATTGCCATTCAATTGCCATACAGTTGCCGTGTCATTGCCATGCTACTGTCATGCTGTTGCCATGCTGTTGCCATGTGATCGCCATGCGATTGCCATGCTGTTGCCATGCATTTGCCACGTCACTTGCCGACCCCACATCCAGGAGTAACTAGCTCGATTGAACTATAGTTTCTTGTGGGCCTCAGGGAGCGCAAGCTCACAACCCATCCGTTTTTCATTTCCTGCTCTGCATGTTGGCGTTGTCATTGTTGTCTCGATCGGGGGAGAAGAACCGGGCAATGATTTCACGAGTGGCGGCCACGCGGGGAAGGCGAGGCATCCGCTGTGGTGCTGCTGGATTCACACGTCGCTCTTCCGTGCCCCCGAGGAGCGCAGGAGTTTGGCGGCACTTGTGATCTCGGCAGCGCCCAGGAGAGGCGAAGCCCAACTGGTCCCGCGTGGGCACCTCTGTGGTGGGCCCACCCATGGCGCAGCAAACTGCCGCTTGCTGCATCATCATCATCATCATCATCATCATCATCATCATCATCATCATCATCATCATCGTCATCATCAGCATCAGCATCATCAGCATCATCATCAGCATCATCATCAGCATCATCATCATCAATCCGTTGGATCTTGGTGGGTCGCCACTCCGGTGGACCCGCAGGGGCTCAGGAACCGTGCGATAGCACCTTTTCCTGGCAGTACCCGTGGGCGGCGAGGTCTCGTGGCATCCGCGTGGGTCCGTTCCCGCTGGGCCACCCCCCCAGGGGCACACGAGATGGGCAACATGTGGACGCTTGGCCAGCGCCTTGGGCGGACGAGAGAAGGGCGAGAGAGAGAGAGAGAGCGAGCTTGAGAAGATGACGCGACGAGGATTTTCTTGCAGAGAGAGGAGTAGGATGACCGTAGCGGACAGGGAGGAAGCGTGAGCTGTGAGGGACGCGGGGAGGGAGGAGAGAGAAGGGAGGAGGCGGAGGGCCAGTGAGGAGAGAGGATGTGGCGGCACTTGTTCTGTCCAAGACGAGACCCCACCACAAGCAGGCCCGCCGGCAGCTGTTGGGCACAAGTGGCTGGGGGTGATTTCGGCGGCGAGCGAGGGGATGAAATGTTAAGGAGCAGGCCTTCTCAGAAGGCGGCGGGACTTCTGAGAAGCCCTCGCGCCTTCTGAGATGTTTCCTGCGCCTTGGGGGAAGGCTTCGAAAACTTCTCGGAAGGCCGGGGGGCTTCCGAGCCGTCTGAGAAGGCCCGCCCTTTCTCACTTCCCGCCTGGCTCGCCGCCGAGATCATTGGGGCCCAGCCAGGATCTGGGTCGACACGTAAGGCGACACCCGCGGAGTACTCGATTTTCAATAGTTGCCTCTGGCAAACCCCGCCACTCCGCTACGGCAGCAGCGAGCGTGAAGGATATGGAGCCCAAGATGCATCCAGGAGCTGTTCCTCGGCTCGATTTCCCCTTCTTGGGCCACTCTTGGGGCGTTCTGGCGCCTTTTCCGGCCGTCTCGGGGGCATGTGGGGCCGTCGTGGGGCCGCATTGGGCCGTCTTGAAAGCCTGTGGGGCCGTCTTAGAGCCCCCCCTGGGCCATCTTTGGACCCTGTTGGGACCCTTTTGGGTTATCTTGGGGCCCTCTTTGGGGCTATAGCAATTGATCAAGCGCCCCTCGAAAAACAACTGGTTGCTCTCGAGGCCCTCATTGACGTCGTCTTGGAGCCTGTTTGGCCATCTTGGGGACCTCTTGTGCTGTCTCGAAGCCATATTTAACCATCTTGCAGCCCTCCTGGAGCGTCTCGGGGCGAACTTTGCTGGGTGTTTTGTGTGTTGGGTTGGTTGTCTTTGGGAGTTGTTTCCTGCTTGGTGTGTGCTTGGTTGCGTGTTGATGGTTATTGCTGTTTTGACCCCGCTTGGCCAGGGCCCATCTGGTAAACATTATATATCGAAGCGCTGAGTTGTTTTGGGATCCAGCAGCTTGGGACTTGCTTCTCCAAATCGAGATTTGTTGTGGAACATGATGCAACATCTGCTCTCGAGAGGGAGGGACGGTCTTTCAGGGAACCGTGCGAGGGGGAAATGGTCGACCTTGGATCAAACGACAGGAACCTTACCAGGCAGCAGGGGAGCAGTCTAACACGCCCCAGCGTGCACCAGGCGCGGTTGCTGGTGAAATGTGTGCCAAGACGCCTTCGGCGAATCACCGCCGCCCATAGGCCTTCTGGAAGCGTCTGCGTGCCCAACCGTTGGGCCGAAGTCCGGCCACGATGTGAGACCATGTGTTCTCACAACCGTTGTGGAGCCCCTTGGGGGGACACTAGGGGGGGAGCACTCGGGGGAGGAAGACACAGAGGAGGAGGGAGCGAGCGAGCGAGCCATGGAGCAGGGAGCCGTGCGAAGACATAACGCAGACTAGCCACGAGGAAAGGAACAGAAAACAGAGGACAGTAACCAGAGGTTTCACGCCATGAACAGCCAAGCGAGTCAGCGTCAGAGCCGAACCCCTGTGGCAGGGTGCCTGCTCTCAGCCAGCCAGTCACGGGCACGGAGCCCAGCAGGGCTTTGGGGGGCCTCATGGGGCAGGGGACATTGAGGGCCTCAACTTTTGGCGAGCCCAGGGTTATTCGGGCCCATGTCAGCAGCGGCAGCAGCAACGGCGGCCTCCCCCTCCCATTCGACATGCTGACGCCGGCCAAGCCTCTCGGTGGCATTGGCCAGCTGGCAACCACTGCTCTGGGCTCACACGTTGCGCCAGGCTTCAGCAGCGTCTTCCAACTGGCTGGGGTCCTGGCTATCGCCAGACAACGCCTGCACTGCATACCGACGGGCCCAGGGGCCAGAGGCACAGTGTGTCGTGGGCAACTAAGACGAAAGGCGGTGGCCCACTGGGATTGGGGGTCTTAGGAGTCCCCGACACCTCCTTGGGGCCACTGACCTCAGACTTGGCATATGTGTGTGCAATCTGCACTGCGCTAGAGAAGAACTGACACGAGAGCTTGCACTCTTCTATGGAGGCCTGAAGCGCCGCCACGGCTACATATGCGACGGCCACATATTGGGCACCAAACTTGGCAAAGAAGGCAGCCACCGCACATGTCGCCAGCGTTGGCCCCGCTCTCAATCAACCCCTCGAGCAACCTGTGCGCGGGAGTCCAGCAGAACGATGGCCGCATGCCTTGGGAGTGACATGTGCGAGACGTCTTGCGCCAGATGGCAGCGTGGGTAGCCGGACCGACTTCTAAATTGGGGTCCCAGCTCTGCCCCCCATGCGCAACATAAGGGTGATTGCTGACGATGACAGGCTCTGCACCTCCCGCGGGGCCAAGAGAGACCGCCCCGCCCATCTCCCACTACGCGGAACTGTCTGGAGCCTACTTGGGACGCTTCCGCGCTTGTTGGGGGTGGGCAGAACCTCCACCCTGACACGTCGATTGTGAATTGTCCGTTTTCCGGTTCTCAAGAGGGCGCCGCGGCCGTCGTTTTCCAGGCCTGCGCCCGCCAGGTTTGGGCCCGAGGTCGTTTTCCTTAAACCACGTTTTGTTAAAGGGCGTTCTGTCCATTCCCGAACTTGGCCATCAAAGGCCAAACGTCCAGGGGCATCTCCACCGCGCCCCGGCCACATCTGGTAGCCTCGGGCACAGGTCTGCGAAGGTCTGGCCCGTCCGTGAGTCGATTGGACCGGGAGAGAGGGGTGGAGGGTTTCTCCGAAGGGCTTAGGCGACCCGTCCTCATCCTCCTGCTCCTCCTCCTCCTCCTCCTCCTCCTCCACTTCCTCCTCCCCCTCCTTCTCCTCCTCCTTCTCCTCCTCCACCTCCTCCTCCTCCTCCAAGGTGGCTTGGCAGCGCGGCGCGGGACGCAGGCATTTTGCCCCCGCGGCGGGCGCGCGCCCGCGGAGCCATAGCCCCCAGCCCCACGGAGGGGCGCCGTGCGCGGTCGCGCTCCCCAGCCTGGCACCGCAGGGAGCGGCGCCTGCGGGCTGGCGCGAGGAGGCGGCTGCGGCAGCTGCAGGACGCACAGCGCCTGGACGCGCACCACGGCAGCAAGGCGCC